TCCTTCAAGCTTACACTCTCTTGGTAACCGCTTACGAAACACTTTGTTTTTGTTCTCTTAAAGACTTAAACCCCTTTTTTGTTCCTGTTTTTCTTTTCTTTTATTTTTGGGTTCAAAATTTTTTCTGAATATTCGTCGGCGTTCCACAGAATTTAATTTTGAAAGTATGGATATGAAACAAACAGAAAATCCAATGGTAAAATGCATTTAAGCATTAAATAAAGTTCATGAAAAATGTAATGGACATCCCTACAAACATATGCACACACAGACATGAATGTGTACCTATGTGTAGCAAACGTGAAAAGCTCTAGGCTAATGTAAGTGTGTATGTGTGTATTTGTATCTGTCTGCTGTTTCAGTAGTGCTTATATATCTATATGTGGGGCAAGGCATGCTCTATATGTTGTACTGCGCTATATGCTGTGCGCTGTACTCTATGTACTGTCTGTCTGTCTGTCTGTCTGTCTGTCTATATAGTAAATTTGTCGAAAAACATTATTGAAAAATTTCATGCAATTTTATGGGATTTTCTAGTTGCTTTTGATTTATGTTTGTGATAACAGTGTAGGACGACAATATTGAATAGAGAAAGTGATTCTCACATAATAGACTTCAACACTTACTAAATCCGCTATATTGGCCACTTGTATGGCATCATGTATCACTTCGGCTCGTGTACTGCCATTACGTTTATCAAACATGGCCTTATCAACCACTATGGCAGTTTCAATATATTTGGTGGCTTCTCGTACATCACGCTTATAGCGACCGGCACCATTTGCATGCATCTCCTCCATAAGACCGGCAGACAGGTGTTTAGTGCGACGCGACAAACGCCACGAATCCAAATTGCCGGAATTAGCACAGCCTTTGTTGCCTTTAGTTCGTGCCTCAAATATCACATGCGGATGCTTCTGCTGAAACAAACGGTTAAACGATAGCATGAGAAAACATGTCATGTTTTACAAATAAATTATAAGTCAACTGTAACATCACTGTGCTGAGGTGATGCTACGCTTTATTTTAATTTACTTGCTTATTCAATTAAATAAGAAATAAATTTCAAAAAAAACAAAAAAAAACAAAAAAAAAATTTGTTATAAACTCTTGCAAACGTCTCTTTTAGAAAATTTTTGTTTTAATCATGATGCACATTAGAAGTTTGCGAATGCCAACCGCTTTTCCCTCAACGAAATGATGTTAAAATATTTTCGAAAATAATTATTGACAATGTCACGTCTTTTATTTTTTAATCTAGTGTAAGGTGAGATAATAATTTTTTTTCGTCTTTTTTCTTTCCTCCTAAGGGAAAAGAAAGAAAAATGCTAAGATCATATGCTCAATATATGTTAATTTCATAGTATTTAAACGCACTTTTCATAAAATGAAAATTAATTAAGTAATACGCAGTGTTCCCAATACGGTTACGTTTCGTCAACTCAAATAAAATTTACTTTCAATTGTAAAAATTGTTTTTATTTTTATTTTCACTAAAATTGTTTTTAATCTTGGAAAGATTTTCGTAAGCAATAATCTAAGAAAGTTCCCTATAATTTTATCCCCACCTACGATAGGAATTATAATATTTTCGGAAAAACGAAAGGTGTAATAAAATATTTTCCGTTCTTACGCGATGTAGATTACATAACTTGTAGTTGTTCCAACTTAATCGGTACTTAAAGGAGAGTCAAGCTAAAATTAGTTTTAGAGTCAATCAGTCTTTTTGATTTGTTCTTGATGATCATCACACCAAGTGTGCAGCATTGTGTATGTGTGTCTTTGCGCAGAATATATAATCGCATACATTTAGGAATGGAATTACATGAATCAGTGGTTTACTGATACGTAGTTGCTTTTCCGTTATAATCTCTTCATTATTTTATTCAGCCATTCATTCGGACATTTTATGTTATATACGTTGCTTTTCGGGCTACCAAATGTTTGTAGGCATTACGTTGAATTGGGAATGATTGTTCGCATAAGTCCATCCATCTCCAGGAAAAGCAACTCTGGAAATAATCTTCATTTTGGGCACGTAATATGTCTTGATCGGTCCGCATACAGCGGACTTATGTCATTCTGTTTTACACCGATTCAGATCGCTGTTGTCATACTTAGCCCATTGCCAGTTAGTTCACAAAAGACGGAAATGTGCGAAATTAGTTTGATAGGTCTTTCTACTCGAGACGAACAAGTTTGTACAGCAAAGGCATACGTAAGATACCTGATAAGAGGTGAAAGATCATAGACAATGATTGCGTATGATTCGAATATTGAACTTTACAACTTTGAAAGTTATCAAGATATAGAGAAAATTTATTTGCACGCCTAATCAATTTTCAAGCGGAACCGAATTAGCCATCTATCTATCGCCTTAATTAGCTGAACAAAAATTGTTCGAAAGCTTTTTCTGCAAAAGTAACTCACGTCTTTACAGTTATCACTCCTCAATGGTGGTGATATACTTGTTTTGCTCTTCCGTTAGTACGTAGTAGTATCAAAGAATGTCCATTATCCATAAAATATACATTGTATATATATATATATATATAAGACTACTACTCATCGTGTAAATTGAGACAAGTTTGAATGTGAAAATGGTTGCAAGTCATCCACAATCACCTTTATGTGAAGTAAAATATTGTAGATTAGAAGTTCATTTGGGCATTGATCTAAGACGTGATACATACACCTTGTAGGAGTGGGCAGAATGAAAGGTCAGAAATGATACCCGTTGCATTCCGTTTAACGAAATATTTCCCAATTTAGATATATTGAACTAAAACGATGAGTTGAACTTTCAGCCGAAAACGGATTTTATTTTCGTGATCTTTCTGCCGAGTTTTTATTCGTAGAAAATAACCGGAAAACAAAGCCGATAAACGAAATATGAAAATGCAAATCATATTTTCGGACAAAAGAAATTCATTTTCTTTGCTGTATACGAAATAATGAAAACCACGCATACATTCAAAACAAAAATGTCGAGCTCGTCGGGGTTGCATCAGCTTGAAACTCTTAAAATTGGAGCCGGCTTACACATGTCGAGATCGAGTAACCACGATTGACTGAACTCGATAGACGTCGATTGTCCAATCGCTGTACCGAGCAGAGAACTTGGAGGTGTCGCTAAAACATGCATTTTCCTGATCATCGAACGAAAGATCCTCTAAACGTCAAATTGCTGTCGAGTAACATATTCAAATTATGATCGAATTTAATCGACATCGTCAGCAAATACACCGTCTATAGGTGATTCTCGTCCGCGATATTTTAATAAGCGCTTGCATAAATGAATGCGTCGATGTATATGCAGAAAAGATAGAGGAGTTTTCTATTTGACTAAAGCGAATAATTTCCACCCATCTAATTTTTGCTTTTTTGAAAAACACTTTGTATAAATGATTTTTTATTATTATTGTTTTTTTTTTTTTGTTTTTTTGTTCTGGAAAGAGGTTGCAGTGACACAAAGAAAAAATATATATGTACGCATATAAACATGTATAGGAGTAAGATTTATTAAATTTCTATTCAAATTTTAGTGGACTCTATCCTTGGAGACAAACGTATCTGCTTTACATTCACTACGAGACGTATGCATGGTTAACATAACCTTTTATGGTTTAAACAAAAAGTATGCAAGTTAGATGTGCGCTTCCATGTGTATAGATTTTAGGGAAATTTCACATCTATGTAAAAAAAAAAAAAGAAAAAAAAAGCAAAACAAAAACAAAAGAGAAAAAAAAAAAAAAAAAAAAAAAAAACGAGATAGAGGAAGAAAAAAAAGAAACAATTCAACTCAAGCCTCCTTCCGCAATGAAATGTCTTATTGTGGCCTACATACACATATGCAAACACAATAATAATAAGTGTAGATATGTGAGGAGGGTATGTATGCACATTTGTATATACATTTATAAATGCAAGAATATATATATATGAGAACACAAATAACCAAATACCGAAACACACAATAGCTTATGTATGTTGAGTATACGAAGCGTGAATAACAACAAGAGTCATTGTTACGAAATTTGCATAGAGAGCGTAAAGGAACGACGACAGAAACAGGTGACGATAAGGGGTAAATTAACACAGAGAGCTGAAGGGATACGAATAAAATAACAATAATAATGTATAAATGTGAATAACATGGTTTTACAACAATTTTCGGCAGTAAGGGAATAAAAAAAGAACAAAAAAAAAAAAAAAAAAAAAAAAAAAAAAAGAAAAAAAAAAAAAAAATAAAAACTCTTTGCAAGCAAAATAACAAGAACACATAGCCCGTGGGTTAACATAGACAAGTAGTAATATTTTATTTTAGGCAAAAAATAATTCGCAATAAAACCAAAAACGTGAACAATGGTTTAAATTTTTCTTTTTGTAGCCACCTCACGCGAATGCATATAATATATTTATCATACCTTATGAATCATATGCATATATAATGCTCTGAGTACTTCATCATTCGAAGACAGTGGGATTCCATCCCACTTTTCTATCGCATCTCTTTATATATACAAATTGCAGAACTTCAACTTTTCAGGTTACAGACTTACAGGTTAAAACTCATCAAATACCGAAATTGAAGTCAAAGCAAACTCAATTATTAGTTAGTTGGTCGAGTTAACATTTTCTTTTTCTCTCATCTCGTTCTCACAAGCGTAAGATTTTGAGCTGATCTATGTATATATATATATATATATGAGAAATATAAGGGTCTCTCGAAGAAATATTGATCTATATATCATGAATTTAGTTGATTAACATAGCATAACAAGCATAGAATATTAGCGATTATCTCAGATAATCTCCGTCTTTATGCTCACTATTGCTTAGGCTATCTAATGGATTCTTGATTGCGATGTCGAGTAACGCTATTGCATTGAAAATTTTTCAGATTACAATGGGACTGTGAGCCCATGTCACAAATAGTTGAATTAAAAAAAAAATTGTAACAATAATACTCCATAGGGCACAAGGTCTGGAGGATAATATATTGAAATTCCGTTAGAAAACCCGACAGATTTTCCTACTATAAGACTTAAACGTAACCTTTAAAAATGATTCTATTTAAACGTACTTGTGCCAACAATAGTGAAGATCTATACGCTTCAGACTGCGACGAGCATCAACTATGCGGGATATTGTTGACGAAGTTTTTCGATTAAGTTTTGAACGATGTTGTGGCGATCAATATTATTTCAATTTTGTGATTTACGCATGAAAACATATTAACAAGTCTGGTACCGTAACCGTTGCATTTAGCTTAAAATTACATTTACTTAATATCAATTGGATTGGACTAACTGACTTTGCTGCATAGCCGAAGAGGCACCCATCCGTTAAGTTCCGGTCTCTCCTGTTTGTTTCTCTATTTCCTCAATTATTTCTGACCATCAGAGCGCGACACGCATAGAACGCACCCATTGAGTGATCGGTCGTATTAAAAATGAAATAAATAAATAAATTTTCATTTCGCCTCACGACACCGAAATCTTGTTTTCGAATCTTAGGCAGAGCAAGTGGTTAGTCAGATGAGTCAAAGAAGATAATGACAAAAATTTCTTGGGATGCAATGGGTATTTTTTTTTTTAGAAAATTTACAAATTGATATAACGGAATCAATTTTTTTGCATTTCTTAGTTCATACTTCAATCCCGAATCGTTTCACTTGCGTTAGGATTTCTTTTGCATTGGAAAATATTGACTTGAAAGAAGTTGTTGTGAAAAGCGCTCAAAAAAGCGATTATAGAATTTATTAGAAAAAAAAAAAATCAATTTTAAATAATTTCCAAAAAAAAGAAAAAAATAAATATTTTAAGTATTTCAGTAGAGAGTGTTATTACGAGACTACGGTTGACATTTGCTGTCAATTGGTTGAGACGTGAAGGAGGAGAGAGATTTACGATCA